CGGGAACATTTAACCACCTTGAGTTTATTGAGAATATATTACAGGCCTGCGATCGCGTTGCGTCGTCAGTTGGGTTAAGCGAACCAGGCACCCATCTCCATTGAGCAACATCAGATGTGTCAAGAATCTCAGAAATTCGATTACTTACGAATTGCTTGTATTGGCGAGCCTCCGATCGAATCCACTGAATCACAGTTTTGGAATCCGACCAATAATGCACTGATTTAGGCTTTACTGTGTGACCCTCAGTAATTGCTTTGCTTAACCGCGTTCCTAAAACTGCGGCCTGAAGTTCTAATCGAGGAATCGACATTGGCTTTAAAGGACTACATCGAGACTTAGCAACGATGAAAGAAACGCTAACCTCATCGTTATAGCATATGCGAAAATACGCGACAGGAGCATACGCTTACTCACTTGCATCTACAAATATATGTAATTCAATTTCAGCAAATGGGTCTGTAAAATATTGACCGGTGTTTGAAATTGCTTTAGCTCATCCAGCATTTTGTACCATCCGTACCATTTATCGTACACGTCTTTGGGTATTGCATCATGCCAACCTATATTGAGTTGCCACAATCTCTGCAATAAAATTTTCGGAACCAGCGTCACGTTTGCTACAAGTCCAAATGGGTCGAAGATCGACATAGTTAACCCCAACAATTCAGCTTTCGTTGGTCGTCGGCTGCCATCCAAAACTGACTTCGGTACCCTAGCGAATGTCAAGTTGAAGTAGAATACATCTCGCTTAGCATCCCAGTGCATACCCAAAACTTTGTCGCATGTTGATTCAGCACTGCCCATATTTTTAGTAGCGCACTCATGCACTGACGACCCATTCATGGCCTGCAATAACCTCGTAGAATTCAATACAAAACCCCTAAGTTCAAATCCTCCTATTCTGTAAATGTCAACTACTTTGTTTTCAACACTTATGGCCTCGTCAATATCAGAAAAACTATCTACATAGTCATCAACATAATGCCGGTTCACAATTGCTTCCACTGCCCTCGGATAATCATCTTTAAATTTCACTGCATTCAAGTTTTTTACAAACTGAGCAGTGCAAGGGGAGCAAACAGAACCAAAAATCATGGCCTTCATTACATACACGTCAGGTTGTTTTGACGAGTTCCCTTCACGCCAGAGAAATCTCTGGCAATGTTGGTCTTGTTCACGTATATTTATACGATGGAACATCTCTCTTATGTCCCCGCAAATAGCTACCTTCCCTTCGCGAAATTTCAACAAAATTGACAGCAGTGGTTTCGGCTGATATTCATCAGGACCCTTCATTAGCTTTGAATTTAAAGAGACATTGCATACTGTAGCGGCTGCATCAAAAACTAGCCTAGGTTTATTGCCCTTTTTAATATTGTACACCGCAAAGTGAGGTAAATACCATGCACGGTCGCCTGACAATTTCGCTTCATTGTATGATAGCTTTCTAGCATAACCCTTTTTTACATATTCCTTTATTTTCTCATAATACCACTTCTCATACTTAACATCCGCTGACATTTTTTCTCTACAGATTGAAGCCGTTTTAACGCTGCAACATAACTCTCTGGAAAAGTTACCTCATCATTTTGCCATAATAATCCGGTTTCATACCTATCTCCTACAAACTTTGTTGTATTTCGCAAAATACGATCAGCTCTAATATCCGCAGCTGCTTTTATGGGTGATAGTTTTGCCTCAAAATTCTCTATAGCAAAATAATCGGCGACTTGCTTTTGCAGCTCATTCATAGAGTCGTATATGTGCACATGGCAAATTGTTGCCGAATCAGAACCGTTTTCATCTGATCCGAACACCATCCAACCTAACTTTGTCTCATGAGCCGTAAAACCTTCGTTGAAATTGACAACTTGCAAAGGGCGTACTAAATTAGTGTGTGGCACTCCAATTAGAATTTTCGGCATAGCATCAGTGTAACTCTGTATTGGAAGTATGCTCAATTCTTTATTTTGCTTCTTAAACAACTCCGCACATAACGTCTGCGGAGGCAACAACTTCTGCACTGTACGCACTCCCTTCATAAGAAATTTCACCTCTCCGTTGCATGTGCTAAAGATTTCCATATTTACACGCCTAGAAACTTCACTGGTCGTTTGGTTGTCGAACCATTTCAACCGCAGTAATTCTTTTCCACCTGCAAGGCCAATTTCATTTGCAATTTGTTCTTCCAGCAGCGTAACTTTAGCTCCCTCATCAATAAAAGCCATAACTTCTATATTTCCTTTAGGACCATGCAGTTTGACTGGCAGGAATTTTAATAAAGTTTTGTTTACTTTTTTCCTATTTTCTTTTGCTGAGAGGTTTTTCGAATTTGCGAGAGATTGACTGGAGCTGATGGTGACAACAGCTGTTTCAACTGGCACTGTGTTGCCAGTGTGCGATGTTCGAATGCTCTGATTGTGCAACAATTTGTTGTGGTATTTTTGACATGACGAAATACCGCATGTACGCCGTCGTGCACAATTACACACACTATGACCCGCAGAGAGGCAGCAAAAGCAAAGCCTATTTGCTTTAACGATTTCCCATCGCTTTTCACAATCAAAATCTTTAAATTTTGAGCACTGATATAATCTATGGTTTTCTTTTGCCCGTATGATACTACGTTTTTTTCTTGTATTTCGAGTGTATTTTACGCTGTATTTTGAAAGAAAGAGAAGGTCACATACAATTTCAGTACTTGTGTAAGCGAGTAAGCTATATACCAAAAAACAAACTAGGTTGTTAAAAACAGTCCGGCCAACTTGAATTTCGTTAGGTTTTTTTGACAGATGGCTGTATTTCGTAAGTTTTTTTACACAGCTGTTTGCATTTTGACATACGAGAGATTTTCTAAGCATACAATGGAAATACAAGTTTTATCTATTGCAACAAATTGTTTGCTAAACGCTGCTGCCTTAATGCAGCGTAGGAGAAAGAAAAAGACTAAAAAAAAATATTCTGCGCAATGGCTTTTAAAAAGAGAACTGAAAGGTAAGTTTCACATTATATACACATGTATATAGTTCGTTTTTGTAATTATCAAAAATACTTTTCATAGGATTTAGCCATAAACTGTTAAAGGAAATTGAGTGCGAGGATTCAATCTTTCACAAAAATATCTTAAGAATGACTCCAGCTCAGTTTGCATTCTTATAAGAAAAAGTACGCCCCTATATTAGCAAGCAGGATACAAAATTCAGGAACTGCATAGGAGCTGCGGAACGGCTGCAGCTGACTTTGCGATATCTATCCACTGGTAAGATATAATATTTTCTTGGTAATTTTTAGTACCGACATACATATGTATGTACATATTTCCAAAATTAGGTGAAACCCAAAGGTCACTTCAATTGCCGTTCCGAATTCAGCAGTCAACCATTTTCAGAATTTTAAAGGAATCAGTTCCCGCAATATATTTGGCGTTAAGGAAGGAGTATTTGAAATTCCCTGCAAGTGAGCAAGATTGGCGTGATATTGCAAAAGACTTTTATCAGATGTGGGGATTCCCGAACTGCATCGGCGCTTTAGATGGTAAACTAACAATTAACACTTTTAAATTCACTCAACTGATGAAACGTCTCAGGAAAGCATTGCAGAATACTGCCAGTGAGGAAAGCAGGATCTACGTATTTCAATTACATAGGATACCATTCATTTGTATTGATGGCAATCGCTGATGCCCACTATCGTTTTATTTATGCTGATGTCGGTGTTAATGGGAGAGTGGGTGATGCTGGAATTTGGTTGAACTCGGACCTGATACACGCTATTGAAAAAAATGAAGTACATATACCAGCCCCATGCACGCTCCCTTTCATGTCAACTCCCTCGCCTTTTGTGCTTTTAGCCGATGATGCCTTTGCTCTAAAAGACTACTTAATGAAACCTTACTCTCATCTAAGACTATCACCAAGCGAACTTAAATACAACAACATACTTACAGGCGCGTTGTTGAAAATGCTTTGGCATTCTTGCGAACCGTTTTCGAGTTTTATTTTCACCCATCCATCGCGCTCCAGCTGCAGCCATTCAGATTAGATTAACTTGCGTATGTGTGCACAACTTTTTAAGAACAGAAAATGTGAAAAAGAAAATTACGTTTGACGCCATTTCCGAAAGTGAAATAGATGCAATAATAGATAACAACTATACAACAACCGCTTCTGAAAGAAATGCGTCAAAAAGGACCGCTGAAGAAATAAGAAAAACTTTCGAAAACTATTTTTCTGCGGTAAATTAAAATATCGTTTCATTGTTTAAATAAACCAAAACTTTTCGTGTTGGAAATTTTCCATACTAGTAGAAGCAACAATTGGTTTATTTGGTGATTAAATAAATGAGTACAATGTCTTCAATTTATGTACATACCTACTAGCTAATACCTGCCTACTTAGCGGTGCACCGTGAGTAGTACAAACACTGTTACATTTTTGATTCAATTAGAGCAACCAAATATTTTAATGAAAGTAATAAAAAATAGGGCAAAAAGTGGTAAGAATAATCAAAATACATATTCACTCGGTAAAATAATAACTCTGCCTCCTTTCGTAAAGTTTGACTATTTTCCTTTTATTTATTGAACTTTAATAATTTACTTATAAAAATACACCCCATTAATTAAAAATCTTTAAACTTGGCAATATGTGGTGCGTTTATAATTATGACACGGGATGTATAGTTAACTCTACAAACAAAACCATATCAATAAAACTTTTAAACTTTAAACGAAATTCAGGAAAACTAATCAAAATTTCGATTTTTTTCTTTTAAATATTAAAAAGAAAATTGCATGTCTGTGTAGATTTGTAATTTTTATGTAATAAATGGCAAATTTCAAGTGGCTTAAGATCACCGCTAATTTTGGGTATTGTTTTTTTTAAGCTGAGGGCGCCGCAACAACCCATTTTGTTTTTGAAATACTTAAAAGGAAGTTCGAAATTGTTATGTAATTTTATGCATTTTCTTGAATTTTGTTTAAAGTTTAAAGCTTCTTGTGATATGTGTTTGGTTGTAGAGTTAACTAAAGTTTTATAAATAAGTTATTAAAATTCAATAACCTACGGAAAATGGTCAAAACATGACAAAAAGGGACACTCCTATTTTTGTCTATGAGTGTACATACATACATATAAATAGTCATTGTGTTACATAAGCCCATTCCGTTTCAATTGTTCACTTTGCAGATCCATCAAAATGTCATGCATTTGTTTCTTCGCTTTGAGTTGCAAGTCGGGGTCCAGTTTTACAATTTCTTCACCCATGTATATCCCAAAACTGTTTGCCTTTTCGTCAGTGTTATTTGTTTTTGATGCAACATGAAAGGCATTTGTTAAATTTTGTGATGCTTCGATTAAAGCAGAGGCGTTTTCATCCAAATCATTATTAATTTTTGTTCTTCGTTTTCTTGTTGCATGGACCAACTTTCTAGTGCTATTGTTGTTATTGTCATCAAACCGACCACAGTTTTGCGAAGTAACCAGAGGTGGAGTTACAATCTCATCCGATATGATTTTAATTGGTGTTGCATCACTATTAGTGTCTTCTGTAGAGATGTTTTTAGTATCTTGGAGCGACTGGATACTGCTGTTACTTGTAATTGCAAGAGGGGTAATTGTAATGAACTCTGTGTTGTCTTCGATGAGTGAAAAGGATGACTCTGAGTCAAAGCCTGGATCGAAACATTCTGCAGGCTGCGGTTGCTCCCCAAGCTTACGCGATGGATTGGGATCAGGGTCCAGGTTCTACAAGAGAATGAAAATATTAAGCAAATTTCACGTAGCACGCGAATCGACGCCTTGCCCGGTTTCACACAATAAAAGTCGTACCTGCAAACTCCACTTATTAAAATTATTCACTGATGGTGTATGCTCATTCACATGTTGTAGGAATTTCAAAGCTTCATAGAACTTCCAGCTGGTCTGTACATTTTCGTCTCCGCCGGCACCGCTTCTCTTTGCCTTGTCCATCCTCTGCTTCTCTGAACTGAATTATGACTTGATGTTGCACCACTTGTGCGTAACTTCATCTTTAAATACATATATGTATTATACAAACATATAATATATCTTTTAGTTTTTACATGTGAACTTGCTAAAAACTTACCGTATTGAAATGGTACATTTGCTGTGAACGTTGAGTTCATTTCATCCACCAAAGCGAGCCAAAACTGCTGCTTTCTATATTTGTGCTTATATGATGGGAGCATATGATTCCATATATATTCTGCACCGTGGACTTTGTCAATTAAATGGAATACGTAGTTGTCTGCCACTTTAATTTCATTTTTATTGTTACAAAACTGTTTTACATCAATTTTAATTTCGTTTATTCGAATTTCGGTAATGAAACGTCAAAACTCAGCTGTTCCTCACACAGAATTTGTCTTTCTCTAACACATTGCCGAATAGTTTTTGTAATTTGACTTTCGTCAGTTTTTTTGTTTGTATTTCAAATGAAAAGTACAGGACAAAAACATAGTATCATACGGGCATTTGCAAACTATACACTTTAACTTTTCTTCAGATATGGCCAGCACTGTTTTCGAAGATCTATTACATTTTAGTGTCAGCTGTTCGGGATTAGCAGGTGATTGATTTACTTCAGCGGCCATTACAATATACATAGAAATTTGCTGCAACCACGTACTGAATACACGAATTGATGGATAGGGCTTATTTATGGCAAAAATGTGGCGTGCCCATTCTTCTCGTTTATAAAGTGGGAGTTTACTCACCAGTTCATCAAGCAGTGTTGGGTTAGCAAGGTGAGGTGCGGCTCCAACGTTCTCCAAAAACGCGACTAAATTTGTTACCATGGAACTGAAGTTGGCGATTTCGAGTATTTCCCACTTGTGATCGTTGGAAATGATCTGGCTTTGCGAGTTGACTTCGAATGAGTACTTCGGGCCGTCCGAAATGAAACTCCAACGATGAGATGACAGCATTCACACTTAAGGGATGTATCAACAACGATTCCACTTTAGCACGGGCGTCTCCCTTAAGAGCTTTCTGCAAGCGGAGTAAATTCTCAACATTAGTGTATGAAAATAAATTAGTGGTTTCTTTGTAAGCAACAATAAACATTGGCCACTCTTCTGGTGAGCCTGAAAACTGTGGCAAATCTTGAATTTTTCGTACGAAAGGCTGGTTATATGGTTGTGTGTACATTTGCGAATTGTTATTTGGTGTCGGCGACGAATGTGGGGCATTAAACAAGGCGGCTGCGGCAGCATTAGTATTGGTATCAGCAGGTATGGCATTAGGCGAGTAAATTGTAGAATAATTTCCAATGAGGCGGTTGAATTGAGGCGCATTAGGTTGCACGTTGATAGGCGGCTGATGGTTTGCATTAGTGTTGATATCAGTAGATATGGCATTAGGCGAGTAAATTGTAGAATAATTTCCAATGAGGCGGTTGAATTGAGGCGCATTAGGTTGCACGTTGATAGGCGGCTGGTGGTTTGCATTTGCCACATTAGAAAAACCTGTGTTGGCATAGGAGCGGGCTGAAAATATGTCGGCAGAAGTAATATTACGATTTGGAGCATTATAAAAACAAGTATTGGCAAAACTTGTTTGTGACGTGGAATAGACTGGTATATCGGCGGCAATGGATGTATTGGCATACATCGATGTAACAGGTGCAGTAGCGCTAACGTGGCCAGAGTCGGCAAGTGACTCAGCTATTGTTGCATCGGCGGCGGCAGTTGTCGATGCGAGTGTCTTCTTCAGACATAACCTCTCTTTTTCTGAGGCTTCTAAAGAAAGTTGCAACTTACAAATTTGATGTTGAAGGTCTGCAATGGCTGGGTCGTTAACGACCATTGTGTGTTCTCCTTCACCTTCACTGGATGATTCGTCATTGTTCGGCATGTTTGAATTTGAAGCGGCGTTATCAAAATTTTTGCTTCTCAAATTATAGCGTAAGTTCAAGATGGCGGTTATTCACAGCAGTTCGGTGAATAAATATTAAAAGAAATGTTGCGGCGGCAATTGCAACGTGGTAAAAACGTACACGAATATACTAAGAAACTCTTTATTTCCATAAAGTGACAAAGTATACAAGAGAATCAGTGAGTTCGAGTTTTAATATTTATTCGTGTTTTCTTGTCGGCTCTTCGTCAAGAGTAAAGCCGGAAGAAGCCATTACATATTTAAGAAATTCTGTATACTTAAACAGAGTTGTATTACAATGTAGTTAAATTATTAAAGACATATAAAAATGTATGATTTTATTAAGCTATGTGCATATGTCAGCAACAATGTTTGCATTATATACATACTGTGTCCATACTTTGAAAATCGGTTCAATAGGTTTCAAAATATAAGCTTTTGGAAATGTTGGAAATTCAAGGTTAGCCCCCTAGCCTCAAAAAAAAAAAGTTTACCATTAAACTCAGCAGAAAGGGGTGCACCACGTCCACGTTTTCTTTTTTCTCTAGCTCAATGGTCCGAATTCTTTAGGTATGCCAAATTTTCTTTCTTAATAATTAATTAATACATCAAAGAAGCTGGCCGTCAAAGTTAAACCAAAAAAGATAGCGGAACGTTGAGGGCGCAATCTTCTTTTCTATCATACTTGTATTTCAAGAGAGTCCGAATAAATCGTAGGCTGATAAAGTCTGTAGTGTGCGGGGGCCTTTAAACAGCAGTTCAATAGCGCATCGGATTGCAAAATCATCGATTAAGTATATTGTATCGTTTCGAAATTCGTGTTTCTAGTTGTAGTGCTTTTATTGGTGGAAATGTGACCAATGCTAGCCGACCATCTGTTTATCGCAAGCTGTAGCTGGCATCTCTGTTTAGCAAAGATAGGAGCTGCAAAAGAAAAAGGATAAATAGATAAGTGTCACATTGCCAGTATTTAACATTTTTGGGTATTTAGTAATTTTTTCCACATAGCGAAGTACTCAAGTGTTTGGTTAATGGAAATTGGAATGTTCTCGTTTATAAAAATATTGCCTGTTTTATTAATTTCCTTTGGAATAGTAAGAGCTGAAACCTATTTGGAAGAAAATTTTAAAGATGGTAATTTATTTATTGTATAGATATACATTTATGTATGTATGTTAAGAGTTAACAAAATATATTTTAGATAAATGGGAGAGCTCTTGGATTTACAGCAAGCATCCAGGGAAGGAGTTCGGCAAGCTCGTAAGAAGTTCAGGCACATTTTATAATGACATAGAGGCCGACAAAGGTAAATATAAATACCGAATTTTGTTCCACCAGTTTAATGAGGATGTACAAAATATATGTTAAGCTCGCTACCAGTGTTGCCAAATTTTGTACTTGCAAAAGCATGGAAGAGCTTTCTGGGCAAGTGAAATTAGAATGTGGTAATATTTCAAGTGAAATCATCGAGGGTTCTCTATGAATTTGTACAACGATTTTGGGATGCTGTGCCCAACCGCGTGAATCGAATCAAAAACCTTTTACACACACTTGTAGACAGCGTTGCCAGGTTGACGTCTTAACGTCATTTGGACGTTTTTTGTATCCTGTTGACGTTTGGACGTTTTTTGTGTAAAAAATGACGTTTTTTAAGTTCCCAGTAATTTTTCTTTGTTACTAAATCTTATAAGTAGAACTGATTTTAAATTATTTTCTTAAAAAATCTTTACAATCTTTGTGTTTTGCTGCAGCTGCTCCCTCCAAAGGTTTTTTTTTGAATTCTTGGACTAAGGATCCCTTGTTCAAAGGCTGGTTGTGTAAACACTTGAGGTTACGAGGCTTGCTGTACTGATGCTATTGCACATTAAAAGCCAAATCAGGTAGAGCCGATCTATTGCAGCAGGTACGCTCGCAAAAGCTCCAAAAACTGTGCAGCATAAAACGTCAGAAAAAAGTAGGCGTCTTTTTTAAGACTTCATTGAAAATGTACTGAATGTAAAAAGGACTGAAATATTAGGTCCATTCAATAATTTTTCCAGTAAGTACTTGCAGCGAGAGCGTAAAAGAAAAATTGAGAGTAAAATTGAGAGCAAGAGAAAATTTTCAGAAAAAGTTATTGAACGCAAAACTAGTAAAAACTTGCAACTTAAACCTTTTGACACTTTCTGACGCTTAAGTTTTGGCGCGCAATTTTCTTTTTAATTGGGAATAGTTCTCAACGTCATAAAAGTAAAAAATATACAATAGATTAAAATTTGGGTAATTCTCTAGGGTGGGGTAACAACCCCTAAAAAAGGTGCAAAAAGTCGGGAGGGGTACCAAACGACGCGTTTCGGCCCCCCCTAATAACAATCCGGAGGGGGGTAATATTATTAGCCATTTAAAAGTTATGAACAAAAAACTGTTGTTAAATTTCGTTGTTTTCTATGAGCAATTACCACGTCAAAAATGCACTAAATCACCAGTTTCCACTTTTAAAACACTACTAAAACGTTTCCGGTTATTATTTTATGCAAACCAAATCATTTATTCACTTTTCATTCCCACGACAGCCGGTTCTACGTACCGGAATGACTCGGGTTTTACCCGACCAAGGGCTGTTGTTTCGGCGATCTAACCCCGTTTAGGTCGGCGAAGTATCTCAGAAGTTGTCCGTCCATAGGGCAACATTCACTACGCATTCTCCTACTCAGGGCTGGCATCGAGTCAAACCCTGGGCCAGAAATATACACCTGCTGTGTATGCCGAAGACGTTTACACCACAACTCCACCTCAGTCAAGTGTAATGCCTGCGAGGGGTGGAGTCACCTCAGGGTCTGCTCGGGACTACGGACTCACAGACAGTGGACCACGTCGTACGTGGCCCCCTGTTGCTCAAATAGAGCAGCCTCCACGGCAACCCTTAGTCCGCCCGTGCAGCCCCACACACTCACACAGCAACCACACACAGTCGCCACAACACAACAACATACCACAGCCACCACAGACCACATAACACACACAACCGCACCACCACCCACACGCCGCCGCCAACAACTCTTGGTTCCCCCTACAATCTGCACGGTATGTCAGACCAGAATATTCCGTAATGTGACATCAGTCAAGTGCAACACCTGCCTTGGCTGGTGCCACTTTAGGGCATGTTCAGGTCTGCGCACCACGCGAGATTGGACGGGGAACTTCGAGGGCCCGTGTTGCGCTGCTCGGTCGCTGACATCAATTGCGACGCCCCCCACTACCACCACAGGGAGGCAATCACCCCAGCAGCACACACAGCCAACGGCGGCAAGAACATACACCTCACTCACACCCCACATCACAACACGTCTCCCGAACCACATGAAGCTCCTCCAATTCAACTGTAACGGGCTACAGAGCAAGATTGAGGAGATAACCGCCTTTATGTGTCGGCATGGTATATTAATAGCTGCGGTCCAAGAGACGAAGTTGCACAGCAATTCAACTTTGTTGAATTGTGCCGGGTACAACGTGCACCGTCGAGATCGCGTGCGAGATAATGGTGGTGGCTTAGCGTTCATCACGCACCACACCGTGCAGTATCGTCTTATCGAAGCAGACATCGACCGCAGGGATACCACCCTAGAATGTCAGGGCATCGCTATCCGGACAGGCGATGTCGAGCTCGAAATATTTAATATATACATACCCCCTGTCACCTGCTGCCCGGCAGGATATCACCCTGATATAGGTGCGCTCCTCAGAGGTGAAAACCGTATGGTAGTAGGTGACTTTAATGCGCACCACGATCTTTGGCACTCAAGCCTGTCAAACGATCGTAGGGGAACAGACTTGGCTGAGCAGATAGACGATTCGACATTCTGCACAATGAACGACGACGCACCCACCAGGATTAT